ATTTTATTCTTATTTTTAAATAATTTGATAAATTTAATTCATACATAAAATTAAAGTTAAATAAATAAAAATGTGCCAGATAGATAAAAATATAATTTATATATAACAATTTAGTATAAAAAATATAGTTTAATATTAAAAAGATTATGATTTTCAAAAAATTATAGTCTAATATATAAAAGGACTACGATTTTTAAAAAAATCATAGTTTATATAGATAAAATTGTAGTTTAATATACCTATAAACTTTGATTTTTGAAAAAAATCATTGTCTAATATAAAAAAACTATAACTTTTTTAAAAATCGTAATCTAATGTTTAAAAATAGTAATTTAAAAAAAGTTTTTTCAAGTTCCCTGGCTGCCCCACCCTAATCAACTGTGTTTCTTTTTTCCCATTATAATAAAGAAATGAAAAGAAAAAAGGGTTAGAAACATCCCAATTGACGCCAACGCCAATTGGAGGAAGGATTCAGAAGCATTTCAGGAAGTCTTTCACACATGATTTACGTGGTATTGCAATAACTTTGGATCTATTTGGTTGGATATTAAAATTAGTTTTAAAAAAATTAAAAATAGTGGTAGATATAAAATAGATTATCGTAACAAAAAAAATTAAAATCAGTCGTAAAATGTTTTTGAATACAAAAATAATGATGATGATAAGATGAATTATAGTAAAAAAATTATTATTAAAGATATTAAATCAAAATTATATGTAATAAAAATTTTAAATTATTTAATATTTATCAAATTAATAAATTATTATTAAATTATTTTATGTCAAATAATGATTTTATTAATAAATAATTAAAAGTTATTTATTAATTTCTTATATAAAAATAAATTTTATTTTTTATTAAATTTACAAAATTATTTTACAATTTTTAAGTAAAAAAAGAAATAAAAAAAATTAAGTGATTAACTTGAAAGAGAAAAAAAAAAATAAATAAAGGGGAAAATGAGTACTAGAACTCAAAACTCCATTGAACGGTGAAAATCACATCACACTATAAAATTATTTGGATTGCATTTGACAAGTATGTCATTTCGACCAATTAAAAGAAAATTGTAAGTAAATAATAATAATCAAAATATTAAAAAATACCGTCATACTTTCCCCATATGCTAAAAACAAAAAAAGAGTAAAAAACTCACTCATCACTATTGTCTTTCTATCTCCAAACAAAAAAACAAAAAAAGATGAAAACAAAAACAAAAGGTTAAACCTTTTCTCTCATAAACCCCATTTTCCTGCTACGAGATCTAGACTTGATGACAAAAAAGAGAGTCGGTGGATTTGATCCAACTTTGAATTCAATTACACATTTGAAATTTGCCAAAAATTTGAAATCCCTTCTTCTTTTTAGCAAAATAAATGAATTTATTTTTTGACTTTTGAAAAGCCTGCTTGAATTTCATTACACCCTTCAAATACTTCATCCAACCATAGCCTAGAAGAAGAAATTTAATAAGGGCTTGATCCCACTTTCAACAAGAAATATTAGTGTTTTCACATTTTAGGTTCGTTTAATTCTTTTAGTCATAACTTATACTTAACACTCATTGGTTTAGAAATAAAAAAGTAGCCAACATTTCAAACAAATAAAAAAGAAAGAAAAAGTAGACAAAATAACGCAGATCTTCCTGCATTTAAAAAAAAAAAAGTCATAAAAGACGAATCAATTGCTTTAAAAAATGCAAACTTTCCGACTTTCAGAAAATTTGCATCATAATCATTTTTTTTTTTATAAAGGCGTTTGATTCAAAATAACGAAGATTATTAATCATATTTTTATTTTTGATTATTTAATTATTATATTAAGTTATACAATATTTTCGAGTGTCAAGAATGTAAGATTATTAGTAATATCAAAATAGGGCTTCAATATCAAATAAATTACATCCTAAATCAATACCCAAAAATATTTTAACCATAAACTTTTTTTTTGACATCTAACTATGTTCATAGTTAAATTTTTTTTGTTTTTTCCTTTTTAAGAAAATAGATTTAAATTTTATTTTAGAGAAGAAATACTACATCAATCAACTTAATAAAATATTTTGATAATTTTTATTTTTCCTGCTTTGCATACCCTTTTAAATGCATTTTGATAACCAAATATACAATATGCATGAATCCAAACAAATTTGTTTTGTCAAAACATGTGACCCCACTAATTTTCCTTCCATAAAGAAAGAAAAATAAAATTTTAAGAAGGATTAGTGCAAATAAAACTTGGAACTGAATTAAGCTCACCACCATGCATAACGGATCCAAGAATTATAATTGCTGTTGCAAATTAATATATGTGTACAATATTATGCATAAAAAGGACATAAATAAAAATTAATTCGTGTAATAACAATGGACATCTACGCTCATAGTAATTTAGTTTACTTAAGTTTTTATTTCTATTGAGTGTATGTTTTAACTTCATTTGAATTTTTTTAATGAAATATAATCATTAGCGATAACTTTTGCCTATATTTTTAAAATTTTTTAATTTTTAAAATTAAAATATATTAAAGAAATTTTAATTATTTAAAATAATGATTTTATTATTAAAATAATTATTTTTATTATTTAATTAATTTTATTCTTATTTTTTAAAATAATGTGATAAATTTAATTCATACATAAAATTAGAAATTAAATAAATAAAAATGTGCCAGATAGATAAAAATATAGTTTATATATAATAGTTTAGTATGAAAAATATAGTTTAATATTAAAAAGATTACAACTTTCAAAAAATTATAATCAAATATATAAAAGGACTACGATTTTTTTAAAAAGTCATAGTCTATATAGATAAATTTGCAGTTTAATATACCTAAAAACTTTGATTTTTGAAAAAAATCATAGTCTAATATAAAAAGACTAACTTTTTTAAAAAATCGTAATCTAATAGTAAAAAACCTTAATTATTAAATTTTTTTTTCAAGCACCCCAGCTGCCCCCAATCAACTGTGTTTCATTTTTTAAACCACAATAAAAAAAATGAAAAGAAAAAAAAAAAAGATTAGAAACATCTCAATTGACGCCAACGTGAATTGGAGGAAGACTTCATAAGTCTTAGTAAGTCTTTTAAAACTAGTATAAGAGTAATATCACACCCTACCTGCCCCAACCTAGTTAGCTGCCTTTCTACGTAATAAAGAAAAAAAACGTACAATCTTATGCATGAAATTGAATTAAGCTCACTGCCATGCATAAGGGACCCAAGAATTATAATTGGTGAGGCAAATTAATAAATATGTACAATCTTATGCATGAAAGGATATAAAAAAAAATTAATTCAAGTGAAATAAAGATGGACATCTAGCTAGCTTATAATACTTTATTTTATTTAAGTTTTTATTTCTATTGAGTGTATGTTTTAACTTCATTTGAGTTTTTTTTAATGAAATATAATAAATAATGATAACTTTTGTATATATTTTTAAAATTTTTTTAATTATTAAAATATGTTAAACAAATTTTAATTATTTAAAATTATTATTTTATTTTTAAAATAATTAAGTTTTATTATTTAATTCATTTAATTAGTTTTATTCTTATTTTGTAAATAATTTGATAAATTTAATTCATACATAAAATTAGAAATAAAATAAATAAAAATGTGCCCAATAGATAAAAATATATATAGTTTATATATAATAGTTTAGTATGAAAAATATAGTTTAGTATTAAAAAGAATACAATTTTCAAAAAATTATAATATAATATATAAAAGGACTACGAATTTTTAAAAAATCATAGTCTATATTAAAAAAAATAACTTTTTCAAAAAATCATAATCTTATAGTAATTGGTACACAATCTAATAGAAATCTAATAGTCTATATAACGTTAAAATTAATTTTAATAAAATTAAAATAGTGGTAGATATAAAATAGATTATTGCAATAAAAAATTTAAAATCAATAGTAGAATTTGTTTGAATACAAAAAGTAATGATGATGACGAAATGAATTATAGTAAAAAATTATTAATAAAAATATTAGATTAAAATTATATGTAATAAAAAGTTTAAATTATTTAATATTTAAAAATTATTAAATTATTATTAAATATTTTATGTCAAATAATGATTTCATTAGTAAATAATTAAAAGTTATTTACTAATTATTATATAATAAAATTTATTTTTATATTAAATTTACAAAATTATTTTCTAATTTTAAGTAAAAAAAAAGAAAGAGAAAAAATTTTAAGTAATTAACCTGAAAGAGCAAAAAAAAAAAAAAAAAAAACAAATCAAGGGGCAATTGAGGACAAGGACTCAAAACTCCATTGAACAGTGGAAATCACGTCACCCTATAAAATTAGTTGGCAACTGCATCAATTATGGAGGTTTGATGGGAGTTTATGTATTTTATTAAGGACACCTATATGTTCAAAGTTCATTTACTTTGGCAAATAAATAAGATGACATATACCGGTTAATACAAGGTTATATATTTTAAGTTTTCTCATCTATCAAAAAACAAAAATGAAATATTATTTTATTTTTTATTTTTTGTAGACACCCCATTTTGTCCGGAGTCTTTGTCAATTAAAATCGGTCCAAGCTTGATTGTAAATTTTATTTATTTATTTATTTATTTTATTTTTATTTCATATTTATCATTTTTTAATTTTTATCTTATGGTCTACTTATTGTTTATTTTCTTTTTCTATTTTCATTATCTTATTATTTTTTAAAAAAAAAGAAAGATTGAGATTAAGTTTGATGATGATCAGAAAAGATAATTAGGTACTAATCTTTAGCATTTGATGACTAGTGGGAATCAATCTGAAACACAATCACTTGGTTTTATATATCATTACAACTCACAGGTTGAAAAGAGAGAAAAGAAAAAAACAGAGGAAAGATAGAAGAAGAATCCGAATAGAAGCAGGCGTCTTGATACACGCCACAATCTTTTTTTCCAAACAAAAATGGTCGTTTCATTTTCTTAGGATTTTCTTTGGTTTTCTTGAATCTCAAAAAAAAAAAAAAAAAAGAGAGAAATGAGAGAGTGTATTTCGATTCATATCGGTCAGGCCGGTATTCAGGTCGGCAATGCTTGCTGGGAGCTTTACTATCTCGAGCATGGCATTCAGCATGATGGCCAAATACCAAGTGATAAGACTGTTGGTGGAGGAGACGATGCTTTCAACACCTTTTTCAGCGAAACTGGTGCCGGAAAGCACGTTCCTCGTGCTATATTTGTTGATCTGGAGCCTACTGTTATCGATGAAGTTAGGACTGGAACGCATCGTCAGCTGTTCCACCCTGAGCAACTCATCAGTGGGAACGAAGATGCTGCCAACAATTTCGCCTGTGGCCATTATACGATTGGAAAAGAGATTGTTGATCTCTGCTTGGATCGTATCCGAAAGCTCACTGATAATTGTACCGGACTCCAAGGGTTCTTGGTTTTCAATGCTGTTGGTGGTGGTACTGGTTCTGGCCTTGGATCTCTTCTCTTGGAGCGTCTCTTTGTTGACTATGGAAAGAAGTCAAAGCTTGGTTTCACGGTGTATCCTTCACCTCAGGTTTCTACATCTGTTGTAGAGCCTTACAATAGTGTGTTGTCCACTCATTCGCTCCTTGAGCACACTGATGTTGCTGTGCTCCTCGATAATGAAGCCATATATGACATCTACAGGCGTTCTCTGGACATTGAACGACTCACTTATGCCAATCTTAGCCGCCTTGTCTCTCAGGTTATCTCATCTCTTACTGCCTCTTTGAGGTTTGATGGAGCTCTGAATGTGGATGTGATCGAGTTCCAGACTAACCTGGTTCCCTATCCCAGGATTCATTTTATGCTTTCCTCCTATGCACCTGTTATTTCAGCTGAGAAGGCTTACCATGAGCAACTATCAGTGGCTGAGATCACCAATAGTGCTTTTGAACCCTCTTCCATGATGGCCAAATGTGACCCACGCCATGGAAAGTACATGGCTTGCTGCCTCATGTACCGAGGTGATGTTGTGCCCAAAGATGTGAATGCAGCTGTGGCCAACATCAAGACCAAGCGCACAATCCAGTTTGTTGATTGGTGCCCTACTGGATTTAAATGTGGTATCAACTACCAGCCACCTACAGTTGTTCCAGGAGGAGACCTTGCTAAGGTGCAGAGGGCTGTCTGCATGATCTCCAACTCAACCAGTATTGCAGAAGTGTTTTCCCGCATTGACTACAAATTTGATCTCATATGTGCCAAGCGTGCTTTTGTGCACTGGTATGTTGGTGAAGGCAAGGAGGAGAAGGAGAACTAAAGGGAATTTGTGCCAAGCTCACGGTTATTGTCGTGGTACTTTTGATCTGCACATTCTCGCTTTTGTTTTTGGTTACAATTAGTGGAAATCGCGGATTTCTCCAGCCTTCTGAAATCAATACAGAAGAACTTTGGAAAAGTACCAAGGCTGGCAGCTGGAGGCCATCATCTGCTCCAACCACAAATGGTGGGTTTTCCATGCTTATATATTGGCAAGGTTACCACGGGTCAACAAATGGTCTTCCTCCACAGCAGCAACCGTTACTCCGACTCCCACCTGGCTTGCCAATGCCACCTTCCATGCAGCAATCTATGCAATATCTAGCCATGAATGTGTCATTACCTGTTGCAGCTCCTAACTTGCTAGCTTCTCAGTTTTCTGAAAACAGTCAGTTGCTGCCACCCTTTTGCTAAGAAGGACATGGAGATTGTTCGTGTGTCACCTCCAGAATTGACGTTAGCACCAGACATCTCTGCATTTATTCAAAGAAGGGCAGCTGCCTATCCTATGTTTGTGATGATAGAGAGGAATACAGTTAGCAAAACCAGCTTCAAGACAAGCTCATCCAAGACCTTAAACCTGAGCCATTCATTAATCAAAACCAAAGCCTTGAGTTGGAACCCATTCAAGAAACAATCTAGGCCTAATTCAAAAAGTTGGCTTAAATTGATTTTGATTCGGGATTAAGCTCAATTTTTGGTAAGATGTTTTCTTTCCCGTTTTGATTTTTTTTTTTGGTTCTAGCATGTCATTTATTCACTTATTTTATGTTTTTGTGATTTAAAAACATTGTTTAATAATAAAAATAATAATTTCAAAAAAAAAATTCTCGAGGAAAAGTTGAAAGTATCAATTTTCCTTAAAAATAAAGTTTTCAAAAAAATGATTTTTTTTTTGAAGAAAAGTTGAAAGTATCAATTTTCCTCAAAATTAAAGTTTCCAAAAAATATTTTTGGGGAAAAGTTGAAAGTATCAATTTTCCTTGAAAATAAGCTTTCCACAAAAAAATATTTTGGGAAAAAGTTGAAAGTATTAATTTTTTCGGCACAAAAGCAATCATTCTTTTTTTCCTTTTTATTTTTTTAATGTTAAATAATCCGACGATGGAGCCTCTGTAAGTGAGACAGTAGTTTTCTTGCATACTCCTGAGGTGAGGAAATTTTCTCAATTTTCTGCTAAAAGTATTAGAGTCAATTGAGAATAATTTCCAATAATTAATCACTTGGTAAATTTTTAAGGCTCATTGGATAACACAAATTTAAGCTGGTACCATCTTTTGATGGGCGTTGTGAAGGTGCTATAACCTTCCTCACACGTAACCGAACTCCCGAACCCTGTTCTGGTTAGTAGACCTGAACCTATTCTTTTAGGGACCCCTGAACTTAGGTGTTCCCTGAAAGGACAGATTCTTTAGGTGGCCAATCACACCTAGATAAAAAAAGATTGGTGGCAACTCCTTTAAGTCAATGTCTAGCGATAGATTCCCGGATTTAGACGTTATGATAGCTTGGCGACTCTATTGGGGACGTTCGAGAGTCAGGCCAGAAAATAAATTTGTGTTATCCAAAAGCCTAATAAAATTGAACCTTTTGTATAGATTTTTTATTCATTCATGTTTATTTACTTTATTAATTATGTCATTCATATGCATATGCATAACATGAGCTCCGTCCCTCTAGGAGGGAGTAAAGTACCTATTGCTTTCGTGAGGTTTAATGCCTCCGCAGTGGCTAACGAAATACTCCCATTCAAATTGAACCTTTTTCACTTGTAGCCTGTAATGGGTGAGGATTAGGGTACCTTACTAGTCTGTGATGGACAATGATGTAAGGAGCAATTTGGAAACCTTTAGACTTTAACCTTGAACCACATATAGTGAACCTTAGAAGTACCTAAACCTAAGATAGAGCCCTTTCTACCCAATGATAGGTATACCCTGAAACTAGGACATAAGAAGAATGTTTATCTAATCATTTTGATTGTTTGACTTTGTACATCATTTTCATTATCATATGTAACATTATGCATCAGCATCACTTTCATTTCATCTATGAAACTAACTATGTTGTTTGTCTGATTTTATGCATCTATATTATTTTCATGATCATGTTTTAATACAATCATTTGCATCCATTTCATATTAGATTTCATCCATAAAAATATACATTTCATTCGTGCATCAACGCATCATACATAAAACATAGCATAGCATTTTTAATCATAATTGTGGTGCTAAAGGTTCAAGGATAGCTCCACCAAACAACCCCACTCACTAATACAAAAGCTCAAGCCAGACTAATGGAACAAGAAAATTTCAGTCGTCTCGAGAGAATAGAAAAAGCTCAGGAGAAGTTAAAAGGAGAGTTGAATAAGATTTTAGGGGCAAACTGATTTAATATGGTGGTCCAAATTTTGAGTTGAATGTTACTCATCGACAGCGAGTGGAGAAAGCCTGTTTTTAAGAAGTGAATTTCAATTATCTATCCTACAATTGAACAGAACATCGATCATATTCCAGCAGCTACAGCTGAAGATGTGAAGCTTACGGTGGCTGCTACTCAGAGAGCTCTTTCTAGAAACAAAAGCAAAGATTAGGCTTCAGCTTCTGACGCTGTTCATGCCAAGTATTTATGGGCCATCGTTTCCAAAATAACAAAGAGAATATTTGAATTAGCAAAGCTTGAGCAATTGATTATGGGAAACCACTTGATGAAGCAACTTGGGACATTGATGATGTTGTTGGATGTTTTGAGTACTATACGTACCTTGTTGAAAGTTTAGATGCGAAGCAAAAGGTTGCCATCTCTCTTCCTATTGAGACATTTAAGAGTTATGTGCTTAAGGAACCACTTGGGGTCATTGGATTGATTACTCTATAAAAGTATCCACTATTGATGGTCGCCTGAAAAGTAGCTCTTGCTTTGGCTGCAGATTATGTTGCAATATTGAAACCTTTCGAGTTGGTATCTATCATCTGTTTGGAGCTAGCTGACGTGTGTAGGACGGTTGGTTTTCCTTCAGATGTCTTAAACATTCTAACTGGATCGGGCCCGAAAGTTATGATTTCTTTGGCATCTCATCTCAATGTTGACAAGATTGCCTTTACCAGAAACACTATAATAGAGAGCATGATAATGGAAGCAGCTGCTCAAATGGTCAAGTCTGTATCTTTAAAACTTGATAGGAAAAGCCCAATCATTTTGTTTAAGGATCAAGAATATGAAGAGTCGCAATGAATCAATGGGGTGAGATAAAAATCCTTCACCTAGTTCCCCAGGGGCATGATTTTAAAGAGGATGTTAAAACTGGTTGAATGCTACTTGTCATTCTAAGAGTTCTTTTAAAGTAATGTTAGGATTTCTTTTCTGCAATATGATTTCACTTGTTATCATTTTAATAAGGGCAAGTTAATGCATTTCATTACATTTTCTCTTTCACTCGACCATTATTCCATGCCCTGTTACCTTTCATAACTTTACATTCCTATTCTTAAATTTCAGATGATGAATATTTAGACAATGATAACAATAATTTTGGGATTTAATTTTGAAAACTCATCCGCATTAATATGAGGAGATGATTTGAGCAAAAAAGTAAGCTGTTATCGGGAGGTGAAATAGATATGTCTTGAAGATGTGGCAATCTTTTTATACAAGTTCATGAGCTTTGTTTTAATAGATGATGTTCAAGAAAGGTAATCACAATTGAAGATGAAAAATGACGCATCTTTCTTTTACATTTGAAAAAACCATTTTAATTGCTAACCCCTTTAGCCTATCAATGATTTTTTTTTTTGAAAGAACCGCGCACAAAGGATCACCCTCTAACTGGAGGGTAATGTTCGAAAAAAAAAAAAAACCACAAAGGTCTCAAAGATGGAAAGAGAAAGAAAAGCAAAAGAAAAATAAATGCCACACATGATTTGAGGTAAAGTAATGAGAATCTTTTGTGTGAAGAAAGAAAAAATAGTGAAATGATGTAGGGGCAAAATGTCAAGTTGTATCAAATGATCCTTTGATCTTGAACCTTTTTAATATATGTTTTGAGCCTATTATATCCATTTCTTTTATGACTCCTCACCTTGGCCTACTTTACAACCTTGAAAAGTCCATTTGGATCAAGTGTGAATGCTTAAATTGAATGATCATATATTGGGCAAAGACATGCTCATGATGAAACAATGGAATCATGCTACATTGCTCTAAAGTTTGATGTAAAGAAGATATCAACAATGGATGAAAAATGAGAAAAAAGAAAAGAAGATGATGAAAAAAAATAAAAAAAAAAAGAAAAAAAAAGAAAGAAGAAAAAAATGAGAAAATGAAAAAAGAGATTCAAATTGAAAACCTGAAAGGGTGATTTTGGTAGAAAAAAGATCCAGGTCAAATGGTTCACATGAATGGAAGATCAAAGACATCTGAAGATCCCTCTAAGATTGGGGCAAAGTTCGCCAAACTCAAGATGACTTCAACAGTAAATGGAATGAGTTTTTGAAAAAGAATCCTAGATTAATGTTGAGAATTGTCTGAATATTCATCATTTGGACATACCATTCATCCCAATGACATGTATCCAGTTTATTTCCTTTCCTATTTGTTTTGTACCAAAATAGATCTTCATTGATTATCTTTACCATAATTCACCTTGTGTTCTCTTATTGTTACACCTCTAGAATGAATTGAGAAAACGCTTGATTGCATTGTATTTGTCAAGATTTGAAATGATAATGAATGAATGAATATGTGCTTAAAAGAGTCTTGTATTCATTTGAAAAGAAATCTAAGATGATGGTAGTGACAAAATGAAGAAATGGTAGAGACTTAAAAGAGATGATTTGGAAAGATATATGATGTGACCAAATAAAGAATATGATGGGGCAAATTTTGAAAAGTGGTATAACCAAGTGATGAGTACAAAGATGAATTGGTCGATATGACTTGCAAGTTATGATTGAATGATGAGAACAATCAGTAGACAAAGTTTGTTTTGGAATGGTTAAT